AAAATAGAAGAGAATGTGAAATATCTCACTGGAAAAACAACTGACCTGGAAAATAGATCCAGGAGAGAGAACTTGAAAATTATTGGATTATCTGAAGGCCATGATCAAAAAAAGAGCCTAGACATCATCTTTCAAGAAATGATCAAGGAAAACTGCCCTGATATTTTAGAACCAGAGGGCAAAATCAAATTGAGGGAATCCACCGATCACCTCCTGAAAAAGATCCCCAAAGGAAAACTCCTAGGAATACTGTAGCCAAATTCCAGAATTCCCAGGTCAAGGAGAAGATATTGCAAGCAGCCAGAAGGAAATAAGTCAAGTACTGTGGAAACACTATCAGGATAACACAAGATCTAGCAGCTTCTAAGTAAAGGGTCCGGAGGGCATGGAGTATGATATTCCGAAGGGCAAAGGAGATGGGATTACAACCAAGAATCACCTACCCAGCAAAACTGTGTATAATCCTTCAGGGTAAAAAATGGTCATTCAATGAAAGAGGGGACTTTCAAACATTCTTGAGGAAAAGACCAAAGTTGAATAGATAATTTGACTTTGAAATACAAGACTAAAGTGAAACATGAAAGAGGTAAACAGGAAAGAGAAATCATAAGAGACTTATTAAGGTTGAACTGTTTACATTCCTGCAGGGAAAGATGATATTTGTAACTCATGAGTCCTTTGTCAGTATTAGGGTAGTAGGAGGGGAAAAATTGTATGTATGTATAGATAGATAGATAGATAGATAGATAGATAGATAGATAGATAGATAGATAGATAGATAGAGGGCACAGGGTGAGTTGAAGATGAAGGGGTGATATCTGGAAAATAAATTAGGGGGTGAGAGAGGATTATACTGGGAGAAGGAGAAAGGGAGAAGTAGAATGGGGTAAATTATCTCACATGAAACAGACAAGAAAAGGCTTTTACAGTGGAGGGGAAATGAGGGAAGGTGAGAGGGAATGAGTGAATCTCATTCTCATAGGATTTGGTTTAAGGAGGGAATAATATACACAGTGGGGTATGGAAATCTATCTTACCCTACAGGAAAATAAGAGAGGAAGGGGACAAGAGAGCAGGGGGTTGATAGAGGGGAGGGCAGATTGGGGGAGGGGATAATCAAAAGCAAACACTTCTGAGGAGGGACAGAGTCAAAAGAGAGAATAGAATAAATGGGGGGAGGATAGGATGAAGGGAAATATATTTAGTTTTTCACAACAGGACTACTATGGAAGTGTTTTGCATGACTACACATCTATAACCTGTATAGAGATGCTTGCCTTTACAATGAGGGTGGGTGGGGAGGGAGGAAGGGAGAAAATTTGTAAACCAAAGTTTTAAAAACACATGTTAAAAATAAAAAAAGAAAAAGAAAAGAACACAGAATGTCAGATCTGGGAGGGCCCTTGGAACATGGGATGTCAGAGCTGGGAAGGAGCTTAGAATATAGACTGTTAGCTCTCAAGGGGATAGAAGAAGACAGAACTGCAAAGAACCCTCAAACAGAAAATCTAGTCCAAAGTCTTCTTTATAAAAGATTAGAAAACTACTTAAAGCCCATATTAACAAAAAAATGAGACCCACTGATCTTTTCATCACATTTGCTTCTACTGGACATTCATAGACCAGCCTAGGAAAATTAAATGAAATTTTCCCAGGACTTTACACTAACAATGTCATTTAAATGTTCCCCCCACACCCATCTGTACAAAAAATAGTTAACAGCCTCCTTATTTGTAGCAATGAAACTTGAGCAACAAAACACATGTCCAATAGCTGGGGAATAGCTAAACACCTGCATGGCGCAGCTTGGCCTTATCAAATCCTACATATTGCACCATGACTTTGCCGAATAGCAAACAGTCATATGAAAAGATAGATCGAATAACGCCCAGGGTAGAATGTCTAACTACAGGAACAGTGATTACATAAAATAAAACAAAATCATATCTATCTGTAGATAGAAAAGAGATCAGAGAGACAGAAGAACCCAGTAAGTTGGTAGCAATAATAATTACTATTTTACAAAAACATTTATCGGGGCAGCTAAGTGGCACAGTGGATAGAGCACTGGCCCTGGAGTCAAGAGGACCTAGGTTCAAATCCAGTCTCAGACCAGACACTTGATACTTATTAGTTGTGTGATCCTGGGTAAGTCACTTAACCCCAACTGCCTTGCTAAAACAAAAACAAAACAAAACCAAAAACAAACAAAAAAAACCAAACACATTTATCCCTGAATTTGAGAGTTGTTAGGGACCTCTGTCAGTCAATGGTCCAATCTGTCCACTTTGCAAAGGAAGTCCTACTGCAAAGTAACCGACAAGTGATCATTCATTTAGCTGCTACTTGGAGACCTTCAATAGATCTCCTTCAATAGGAGGGAGAGGTATTTTTTTTTTAGCATTAAAATATTTTGATTCCACTAGACATTGGTGACACCCCCCCCACCCTTTTTTGGTATTCACTGAGATTGGTAAGAGTCCAATAAAATCCTAGGGAAAATTAATAGATGCACATCTGTGCCATCCACATTTGGACAGTTGAGGTAATGTAGCTAAGACGTCCAAATGAGATGATGACTTCATTTTCGATCTAGAAGTTTTGTTGTGGAAAAAGAGCCTGGGTCAGTCCTCGTTCTATCGGTGATGACGGTCAGCCACAAATGCCAGCCCATTTATGGTCCATGAATGGAGACAACAGTGATGCTATCTTCCCCTTTCTATGGGGCTTTAAGGTTTTAAAAGCTTTCCTTCCCATAATGCTATGGGCCGGCTTCTCTAAAGATTAGACCTGCTTTAGAGGTGAGAAACTAGAAGTGACTTGCTCCTGGCCACAGAGGTCTCCAGATTTTAAGGCCAGCTCTCTGTTTACTAGCTACAAGAGGCCATCTCCGACCTATCCACTCCATACACAGTCCTGCCTCTCTCCCAGCAGCCAACTAGAGGTCACACTTGCTTCCTGAAGAATCCAGGTTCAGGGGCAGCTAGGTGGCGCAGTGGATAGAGCACTGGTCCTAAAGTCAGGAGGTCCTGAGTTCAAATCCGGCCTCAGACCAAACACTTGACACTTACTAGGTGTGTGACCCTGGGCAAGTCACTTAACCCCAATTGCCTTAAAAAAAAAAAGAATCCAGGCTCAGACTAAACTTGAGGGGAAATAATAACAACAACAACAATGATAATAATAATAAACCATAATCTAGCACAGCCCTTCCACCCCTAGGCAGTGTCAGACCATATGTCTGTAGAAAGAGAGCTGGATTTGGAGTCAGAGGATCCAGGTTCAAATCATGACTCGGCCAACTGTGTGCCCTTGGTTGAAACATTTCACCTTCGGGGACTTCTTCAGGTACCTCCTCTATAAAATGAGGGTGCTGGACTAAATGATCTGCAAGATACTTAATAAATACAGTAAGCACTTAATAAATGCACGCTAACTGGCTTACAATGTAAATTGAAAGTGTTTTTTTTTAAACTGAACATAGTATGATCATAATGGCTAAATTTGGTCTATGAAAAGAGATGAGAAAATGCCTCTTTTCCTTCTCTGCAAAGGTGGTGGCCCATGGGTACGGATCACTGCATACACTGTCAGACTCAACTGGTTCAATTTCAAATTTCAGTTTGATAAACTGTTTCTCCCCCTTTTTTTTGTTACAAGGGATGGCTCACTAGGTAGAAGGGGAGAGAAACATATTTGGAAATGAAAGTGATAGAAAACAAAAGGCAATTTAAAAAAGAGTAATAGGAATGTATAAAATGTTGCCCAATCCATCCGATGCAGTTTGGCCACAATCATAGTTACTCACATTATGTGGGCCCTCCATTCCAAATAGACACAGCATGGATGAATATGGCCACCAGGGAGCTAAGTTTCCTGACAAATATAAAATCCTCATCAAGAGAGAAAAGAATGGAAAAGAATTTGGTCAATTTCTTCAGGATCTGAGCAGGCCGATGAACATTTTAAAGAATAATTTTCCATTGCCCTCTTTTGTTTTCATTTCACCAAGAGTTCCCATTATGGCCCATTAGGCCAGCTCCCTTAAGCGGCCCCTCCCAGGGAACCAACCCTTTTAACCAGAAATCAAAAAGAGGAAGACAAAAAAGTTGAGCAAAACTGAGATACTGAAGACATTTGACGGTATATGCAGTGTTCCACACCCATGGTCCCCCACCTCTGCAAAGAAACAGGAGGAGGTATTTTCTTACAGCTCTTCTTTGGGGGGCAGGTCCATCTGAAACCTTTCCGTATTTCCTATCCAACTTGGAGAGACAGCTTATGTAGTATCAGGGACCCCCCTCCAACCTTCTGCCTCCTACCTTCCTTTTTCAGTTCATGTCCTGTAAGCAGGTAGGTGCCACAAGATCTTCCCGGCCTATTCCCCTCTTGGGAGACACACCTCTGATCTGTCATTACTCACACAGTGGATCCTGACCCTGGCAGCAGCTCCATGGGGGCAGCTGCACAAAACTGGGGTGGGGTGGGAATTGGGAATGACAAATGACTTCTTCCTACCCTATCCCATACACGGGGTGGCCGTGGGTTCATGTCCCACGGCCATCAGGCTGGCCCTGCAAAGCCTCCTGGTCCCAGGCTCAAATTCCCAGCTGAAGGTGCAAACAGCAGGGATTTTCACCCACCCTTTTATCCCATGCTTGTACCAATCGCTGGCTGTCGGCAGACAAGCAGCTGCCCCATTCCCCACTGCCCTGTGGCCTGTCAGCAGCCCCAGTATGGAAAGGTTCAATCTGCTCACTGTCCATGTCTCCAGGTGGGGGCCGTACTCTGTGTGTGGGAGTTTTTGTTCTCTCCCAGGCCTGAGAGGACCCCCAAACATTAAGAGTAAATGCCTTCTAATTGTTTGGTATTGATTTTGCGTAGCTTGTGTGTGTATGTATATATATAAGCACATATACTCATACACACATATACACATATAGAATATACTGTAAATACTACATATGTGTAACTATATATGACAAGTGGCTCCTTCTTACCCCATCCCTGTCCACTCTGTTGTCAGGCAGGCCCTGCAAAGCCTCCTGGTCCTCAGCTCGAATTCCCCATGTTACACTCCCAGTAATTGCTCCATAGTTCTCAGTAAAGGCCAGTGAGCAGACTGAACCCTTACTTGTTGGGTCTGACAGGCCATGGGGCAGTGGAAAGTAGGGCAGATGCCTGTCTACAGATGGCCAGTGCTTGAGACAGGAATGGGAGTTCCTGGATCAGAGAAACATCTGCTGTTTGCACCTTATCTAGACACACGTACACTTACAGAAGCTCAGTGTCTTCCCCCCATGAGTCCCCTGAGGGCAAAGGTTGTTTCTTTGCATTGTCAACACTTAGCACAGTTCCTTATAGAATATTGTCTTCCCTGCCAGAACAACAGCACCCTGAAGGCAGGGAGGGACTCTTTCACCTTGCCTTCATAACCTGGGCACCTGGCATAGAGCCTGGTACAGAGACGGCACCTAATGAATGCTTGTGCATTAATGTGATATCCGCAGAGCGCTTTACAGATATATGATAACTCTTATTTCCCAGGAAATAGGCACAGAATTACCTGATTCACAGGGCCTGCCTGACAAGAGAGTAGACAGGGATGGAGTAAGAAGGAGTCACTTGTCATATATAGTTACACATATGTAGCATTTACAGTATATACCATATGTGTATATGTGTGTATGAGTATATATGCTTATATATACATACACACACGAGTCAAAGTAGGGACTGAAAAATTAGAAGATCATCGGAATTCAGAGCTGGAAAGGATAATCTATCTCAGAGATTCTTAACCTGCTGTCATGAACTTGTTTTTAAATATATTTCACTAGCTTTATTTATATATAATTGGATTCCTTTGTAATCTTATGCATTTTTATACATAATTCTGAGATGGGTTCATAGATGTCATGGCTGTGCCAAAGGGACCACATCACCAAAAAGGGTAAGAACCCCTGAACCAGCCCAATAGTATCATTTTATGGAAGAAAACACTTAAAAGTCAGAGAGGTCAAGAGAGGTATCCAAAGTCACACAGCAGAGAAGCAGGAGATCTCAGATTCAAATCCCAGACCTCCAATAATAAATTCATCATATTCTCCACTAAGAGGACACTGCCTCTTGGAATGAGGATCAGGCTTTGGGAGGCTTAGAGAAATTTTTTTTTAAAAAAAATTGGTTTTTACAATTTTACTTAAATTGGATACGTTTTATTAAAATGTGAAAAGTCTACAAAAAGATAGTTTTCCTTTAAATTATACCAAAGTGCAAAGATATAAAAAGACAATAAGGGGTACCTTCTAATTATATAGTATTTATAGACAACCTGATCATGCAACCCTTCTAAAGTCATATAAATAGGTCACAACAGGCCACATACTATCTCTAACTCTTCTTGCCAAAATTCTCAATACTTGGTAGCAAGGTCACAGAATAATAAAATTTCAGAGCTAGATGGGAACTTGGAAAGGGCTGAATCCATCCCCCATGTGAAACAGAAACTGTCTCTACAACATCTGTGACAAATGGTCTCCTGGAACACCCTCAGTGACAGGTATCTCACTACCTATCCACTAAGGCAGCCCATTCCATTCTTAATGAGTGGCAGGTTCAGGGAAAAGGATTCTGCCCCTTTAAATCGGGGGACTGGTTAGGGAAGAACAGCTTGACCTATTCCCTTCTAAAGGAGCTAAGTCTTTTGGGCAGTGCTCCATGAAATTCAGTGGATTATTGACTTACAGCTTCAACGTACTTAAGGAAGCCCAATCTCCTGATTTTACAGATGAGGAAACAGAGGCCTATGGAGAAGTGACTTGTCCAAGGTCACACAGCTAGAAAGTGGCAGATGGAAAATTCAAACCCAGTCCTCTGACTTCAAATCTCCCACCTTCCGAAGGTCTGATTTTCTTTTGGTGTTCCCCAACACTCAAGGCCTTTACAGCACTGAGACTCCTGTTGTTTTCATCTCTGTTCTCATAATGGGAAAATCCAGGTCTGATGATAAGCCTGGCTCAGCAAAGGCGAGAAGGGTCCAGGGCATTAGAGGAAAGGAAGAAAACTGGGGGGAGGGGGGAGAGGGAAGAAGGGAGGGTGCAGTATGGATGAGGGTGAGGAAAGAGAGACAGACAAACAGTGAGCTGCCAAGACAAGGAGGCAAGGGAATTGGGAGCTGTCTAATTATCATTATTAATCATGATGATGCCAGCTAAGGGGCTTTTTATAAAAAGTGTTACAGAATTTTCAAGCTCACCATCTAATCTGTTCCCTGGCTTTCGAACTAAAAGGGATGTTGGAGGTCACCCAGTCTAAACCCTCTGCTTTTTTTTGTTTGTTTTTTTTTGGTGAGGCAATTAGGGTTAAATAACTTGCCCAGGGTCATACAGCTAGTAAGTGTTACGTATCTGAGGTCATATTTGAACTCAGGTCATATTTGAACTCAGGTCCTCCTGAATCCAGGGCCGGTGCTCTCCATTGCGCCACATAGCTGCCCCAATAAGTGACTATTGTGGTTTTTTCGTTTTTGTCTGTTTTTTTTTTTTTTTAAATTTTGGTGAGGCAATCAGGGTTAAGTGACTTGCCCAGGGTCACACAGCTAGTAAGTGTTAAGCATCTGAGGCCAGATTTGAACTGAGGTCCTTGTGACTCCAAGGCTAGAGCTCTATCCACTGCGCCACCTAACTGCCCTTCCTCTGCTTTTCAAAGGGGAAACTGAGGCCTGGATTTAGAAGAAGGCCAGTCAGGCAGGAAGGGGCAAAGCTAAGCTTCAAACCAATCACTTAACACAAAGGTCTCCTGACCCTGGGCTCCAAGGTACTTTCTTCTACATATGATTATAGAGATTTAGAGATGGAAGGGACCTCAGAGATTCTATACTGAGTCCAACTTCCTGATTCAACAGCAGAATAGATTTGCTCAAGATCAATTGGGGAGCAAATGACAAAGGTAGAATTTGAACCCAAACTCCATCACTCCAGAGCCAGCCCTCTTTCCACTGTTCCCATTTTTGCAGATAAGGAAACAGACCCATCAAGGGAAAGTGACTTGGCTAGTGTCACAAATGCAGTCACTGGCACTTCCAGGAGTTCCTGGATCAGAGAATCTCAGAACTGAAAGGAACTTCAGAAAAAGCATGCCTAGTCCTAACCCACACCTGACCAGGAATCCTCCTGTGATGATATCCCAGTCACTTTCTGCCTATGCTAGACCCAAGATGGATCACTTATGGTCCACCAGGTGCATCCCAACCTTGGCTGCCTCTGCCCCATTTCTTCACACCATTCTGTATTCCTGAAATGTTCTCCTCACCTTTGCCCACTCAAAGCTAACCTGTCCTCCCAGCTCACTTCCCCTTTTCCTGGCCCAGTTCTAATGCTACCACCTTCTTCATGAAGTCTCCTGGAGGCCCCTCAGCCAAATCCGTTCATCCCTGGACCTCAAATAGTAATTGTCATTTACCTACTTCCACGCACACTGATCACGATAGGTCCTTGGGTCTGTGTCTTACCATCCTTACTTGACAGAGAACTTCAAAAAGAGAAGGACCAAGTTTCAGTTATGTTTGTTTTTCTCCCAGGGCTCAGAATGGGGTGTATGTCTGTTTAGGATTATTCAGACTTATGATACCCCCATCCCCTGATCGGCTGAATATCCCAAGCTGCTTTCCCAGTGCCAGACAGGACACCTGGTTAGTCACCATCTAAACTCCATCCTGATCAGACACCCAACTCTACAGGAGGATTTCCCCCCTCTATAGGTAGAGATATGTTTTATGTTAGAGTGGCAGAGGAGAGATTATTGGATTTAGAATCTGAGGCCCTGCATTTCTAAAATACATAGAGAACTAAGTCAAATTTATAAGAATACAAGTCATTCCCCAGTTGATAAATGGTGAAATGATATGAACAGGCAGTTTTCAGATTAAGAAACTAAAGCTATCTATAGTCATATAAAAAAAAGCTCTAAATCACTATTGATTAGAGAAATACAAATCAAAACAACTCTGAGGTACCACATCACACCTATCAGATTGGCTAACATGACAAAACAGGAAAATCATAAATGTTGGGGAAGATGTGGGAAAATTGGAACACTAATGCATTGTTGGTGGAGTTGTGAAATGATCCCACCATTCTGGAGAGCAATTTGGAACTATGCCCAAAGGGCTATAAAAATGTGCATAGTCTTTGACCCAGCAATAGCACTGCTAGGGCTATATCCCAAAGAGATCATACAAATGGGAAAAGGACCCACATGTACAAAAAATATTTATAGCAGCTCTTTTTGGGATGGCAAAGAATCAGAAATTGAGGGGATGCCCATCAACTGGGGAATGGCTGAACAAGTTGTGGTATGTGAATGTAACAGAACACTATTGTTCCATAAGAAATGATGAGCAGGCAGACTTCAGCAAAACCTGGGAAGACTTACATGAACTGCTGCTGAGTGAAGTGAGCAGAACCAGGAGAACACTGTGCACAGTAACAGCCATGTTGTGTGAATACTGACTTTGATTGACTTAGCTCTTTTCAGCAATACAAGGATCTAAGACATCTCCAAAAGTCTCATGATGGAAAATGCTATCCACATCCAGAGAAAGAACTATGGAGTTTGAATGTAGATCAAAGCATACTGTTTGCTATTTTTTTCTTCTGTTTTGTTTTGTTTCTTCTTTCTGGTGGTTCCTCTTATTGGCTCTAATTCGTCCTTACAACACGAGTAATGTGAAAATATGTTTAATAGGAATGTATATGTAGAGCCTGTATCAGATTGCGGGCCATCTTGGGGAGGGAGGCAGGGAGAAAATTTGTCTGATCCTTTAACGGTGCCCCTAGTGAGGAGGGAGTACTGGGATCTGAAGCAGTGACCCAGCATCCCAGGCTTGCCCCGGTCTAATCTTTCTAGGTTGGCTACAACTTTGCTTTCCTGCAGGAACAGTAACATTGAACTTTGTAGCTTGGAGTTGGCAGGGTCTGCTGAGGTCTTCTAGGCCAAAGCCCTCAATTGAGAGATGAGGAAATGAGGCCCAAAGAGTAGAAGTGATCTCTGCCTCAAGGCCACAGAGTCCATTAATGTTG